CATGACGAGGCGGCCAGCAGCACCGTTGGCAACAAACGGGACTGAGTCATGCCTGGGCTCTGCAAGTTGGGCTCCGACGGTTACGAGCTCTCCACAACGATCCGTATGATCGGGGAGGGTTTCGAGGTGGTGTAGGGACCGGAACAAAATCCAACGTATGTAAAAACATCTTACGGCGTCCAGGGGGGTAACCACCGGAGACAAAAAACAACTTGACATCCCAACACTAAACATGCAGTTGCTAGCTCTGCTACTTGCAGCGGCCACATATGACTACACTACACGACAGTGCAGCAAGTTCACCTGATGCCTCAGGTCTTCCGTACGGAGATATTGATGATATAAGGGCCTTCATGATTAGAATATTGCTTTGGTGCATGCCATAGTGCAATTTCCATCTGGAGCTCTCAGGAATAATGTTAGTAAGTTAGTAGTGAGCCAGGCTTCTAATTCTATCTTATGTATCGCAGCCTGGCGTCTGGACGGAGGCAGGGAATCCACAGGGCACGACGGGTGGCGCTGTGCGCTTGAGCCAGGATCTGGCACAGCTTCTTCGCTGAAGGCAAAGGCAGATACGCGGTTTTTTGAGGGGTTCATGGAACGTGGCTTCAACGAGCTTTCGAAGCCTAGCTTCGAACAAACTTACTTTGAGGTTCGAGTGAGCCTGGCTAGGAGGAGATGACAGCCACCACCGCAAGCAACGAGATCCGTCATTGGCTGAAATTGGCGCAGCGGCACATATCACAGGGGCTGCAATGGTGACGTCCTAGCGCATACGGTAGTACTATAGCAGGACTAGTAGGAGTTCCAGTTCTACAACCGTACCTATCACCATCCCATTACTAGTATATGGTTCTACTCTTATTGTCGTCCTCGTAGTCGTCCTTGTATCTGTCCTCGTCGTGCTTGTGGTGTGGTAGAGGCAATGGCATTGGTAGTAGTAGTAGTGGTGCTGCTGGTGGTGGTGCAGCAGCAGCAGCAGCAGCAGCCTTAGCAGCATTAGCATTAACATCAGCATCAGCCTAACTAGCAGAAGCAGCAGCAGTAGTAGTACCACAACAGTTGCTGTTGCTGTAGCATGAATACAGCAAGTACTCAGTCGGCGACTCAGCCACGGCGTGGACACAGCTCTGCCGTATGGCCTGATTCTGTACCTGCCCGAGGTTTCAAACTCAATACAACATCAAAGCTGCATGGTATGGATGCCCGTGGTTTCAACTTGTATTGATATGGTCCACCAGGATTTTGCGCACACCCAACACAGCCAGGCAAGGATTGGCGTCTACCCCAAAATGTGGCAGATCTGGTCTGGTCAGTTGTCAAAGCCACCACAAACCAAAACCTCTCCATGCCTCTATCAGCACCACCACTACCATCACCACCACGACAACAACATCAAGATCATCAACAACCACCGCCGCCACCAAGCAGGCAAGCAAGCAAGCAACCAATGACCAAGTAACCATGAACGACGAACAACAACCGACAAGAAACAACAACGAACTACAACCAACAGCCACGGCCAAAGTCACAGCTACAGCGACGACCACGACAAGGACAAACAGCAGCAACAGCAAAAACAAGAGCAGAAGCAATCACAATCATCATTCGCATCATGAACACGATTCTCATCAGCATCATCACAGCCATCATTGCCAGCATCACCAACACCACCATCATCGTCGTCGTCACCACTCGTGCTGTCACTTGTGCTTGGAGGGCGTGAGGCTGACGGTCGTTGTCATGTTCGGGGCGGTGGCTCTGGTCGCCACTGTCTTGTCTTTCCTGTTGCTGGTTGCTGTTATCCGAGGCTCGAAGGGCAAACCCTCGACTTGAGTTGCCCTACTTTCCCAGCTTGCGGCCTGATGCTTCTCCTTGGTTCTCTGCATGACGACTTCCAGCTCTTCGAAGGCGTCCTGGACAAGAAAAGGCTCCCCTACATGGTGACAAAGCGAAGGCCTGCTGCACTGCCCGTTGTGCTGTCCCCAAGTAGTCATATCCCAATGCATTAGAATAAGCCAGGTAGGCCCCTGATGAGGTAGGATCGTGTACGATCCTTTTTGAAAGGAGTATTCTAAATATGAGAAAGTCGCAATGTGTGGTGCGCTCCTTTCGCTTTACCTCGAAGTCCGCAATGGACTTCTCCATGGCTTCACGGCTCTCGTTCCACTGAGCCATGATCGAGGTCATCCTGCGGATTGTGGAGACATCAACGGCAAGCGTGTCGGTAGGGGAGTGGCGCTTGGAATGAAACTTTTGCAAACGCAAGTGATGACCATTCTATACCGCCCAGCGCACTGAGCACGACAAGTTGAAAGTAAGCCCGCTACTTTCAGTCTTAGAGGTTGTAATCAGGTCAGTTCACCAGCCTGCCAGACAAGAGGCGATCAGAGTCTATCACGAGCTTGTCGGTAATTGAGCATTTTAGTGACAAGTTGGTCAGTCTTGGATCGTGTGTCGTCGTGCAGCTTTTGGTACTGGGCATGGATCTCATCGAGCTCCTCCTGGCAAACTGCGTGCAACGAACCAACTGGTTCATGAACCCTTCTACTAGTAAAGCTTCCGCAGTCTTTGGCCAGTGTCGCGAAAAGGCAAGAGTAAACAACTGCAGCTGCAGCAAGATCCGCGCCTGCAGGGCTTTACGCCTCGAAGCTGTTTCGTCCCAGGCGCCTTGTGCTTCTTCAAGGCTTCCTGGCTGTGATCATCAGAAGCGGCTGCTTGCTCCACTTCAGGCAGGATAGCAGTGGACAACTGCAACCTGCCTGGTGAAACTACAACTTGCCGATAATTTTGTAAACGGGCTGTCCAGTCAATTCGGCGAGTCACAAACTGCTGGACCCGGCTCACAGCATCACAACCGTGATCTAGCCTTGTCATGCAAGTACATCTCAGCTAAAACTCCGGACGTCCTTTGAAGCTTTGCAAAGCATTGTTCTCCAAGTCTTGCAGCTTTCCTCAGTTTACTGCTCACTCTCACAACTTTATACCCACAACACCCAAACACACAACCCCGAACTCGGAGCATCCTCGTCCCGTACTAGATGTCTTCAACGACATAAAAAACTACGAGACGCCAGCTCTCATCTTACTTCGCCGACAGGCGAGGATAACTTCTGCTTCCTCTTCCCCGCTACGCCTCAGACAAAAAACTACTGCGAACTAAAGCTGCTGAGGTAACTTTCCTTTCCCTGCTAGCAGGAAATCGGCAGGTACACCAAAACGCTTGCGTAAGACTCGTTCGACAAATCTGAACATGTAACATAATAGACAACACTTCAACATGATCTTACTATGTGGCTGTCTGGTATAGCAGGAGTCTAGCCTACAGTAATTAGTCCAGTAAAGATTAGTAAACGAAAATAAGTGTATACTATGCTGTTAGAACGCCAAGACATGACTTCAACCCAAGCGGCGCTGCTCTTCGAAGGTGTTTGCTGCAGCTTCTGCCTTTGTCAGGTGATCCGGCTTTACTATGCTCGGCCCGCTTAGGTTCAGTACTTGACGACGTGAGTGCGCACTTCGTTCCGGTTCGCATCGATCTTTACTTTTCACTCGCGGACTAGAATGCGTGTACTACGTAATTGTTTGTGCGTCTGTGGGAAGACTTGCGCGGGAGTTTGCGAGGCAGCCAGCCTCGATCTTCATAGCAGCCAGCTTGGTGCTACGGATGGCCTCTTCCTGAGTTGCTCCGCGTGTAGGATTTGCAGGTTTCGAAGGAATCTAGTCTCCTGGGAACCAGAAACCATTGGCTTCGGGACGGGGCGCCATGCATTGCCCCGCCCCACATCGGCAGCACAAAGCAACAGGGAGCAGACTTCTGAATGGTTAGCATTTTTGAGGATATCGCACACAAAGTTAGGCCTTCAAGAAAACACCGATGCTCATGATGAGACCCAAAACTGAGTTAAGATGTCTACTCCGGTTCGTGGTTTGCGGCAGCGTTCGCTGTTGCGAATGCGGCACCGTGCGGGTCGCTTTCATGGCCAGCACGACACATCTCGCAGGCTGCCACTGTCTCCGAACCAGCCTGATCGAAGCCAAGCTGCCATGTCTGTCTGCACCTTTCCAGGGCCAGCTGGCGTCATGAGAATAAGTGCCGGCAACTTGTGCAACCAACACGATGTCAGTGAATAACACAACTGACCTGGTCAAACCTGATCGTTGTCGGAACTCTCAGACCCTGAGCTATGCCAGGCTCCTTGACTGCACGGTTTCTACATTCGGATTGATTCCAAACCCTGAACCTGGTCAATGCTTCAGTGCATTGCGGTCAATCCACGTTTGGGTTAAGGGACTGATGTCAAGGCCACTGCCCCGAGCCCCACAATGAGCCTCGGGGATCAATCTCTTCTGATTTTATCTGGGTCCTAAATATCAAGAAGGCAGAATAGAATGCAATGTGTAACGACTCTCCTTTTCTTTCCAAGCCGGCAGATGTCAAACTCCGTTCAGCAGCCATTTGCTGAGGCGTGCATCCGAGCTTGGGGCTCGATTTTGGCTAGCCAACACATGGGGACTGGACACCTGGACTTGGCTAAAGCGGCTTTGTATTTACATCATCACTAGGTGTTTGGCGGGGGCATCACTTGGGAAGATGAGGTTTTGGGGATACGAGTCCTCGGCTCTTCCTAAACACACGAAACCGATGGGCCACAAAGCTGGCCTGCGCGCAGAAGGCCTTTGCGCTAGTCAGCTCCCGCTGCGTCCCTGCCATTTTCTCGGCCAGTGCCTGCATTTGAGAGTCTGCGACTTGACAAGCCCCTACAGTAGGCCGCAAGTGGAACAACTGGTGCAGCAATGGTCACACCACCAGCGATGCTGCTTGTTTAGTTCCTGGTCTGGTGTCGGCTTTCGATCTGCATCTCAATTCCAAAGAGCGCTGATGAGGCACCTCATCGCTCCGCAATCGAAGCTGGTGCGTCATGTGCTCAAGCTCCTGTGCTTCGAGAGGTTGGGATGAGTCCCCAGGTTGCTGTGGGCATCTCCGAATTCGTGTCCTTGACTTGCTTTTTCGACTTCTCCTCATGCAGCTTCATGCGGGCCTCGCCGGCTTGGCTTCCGAAAAGCTGGTCCGCTGGTCCTTCCCTCGTGAAATGTCGCCGGTTCTCGCCTGGGCCTCCGTTTTGGTGGTCTGGTGCCTCTCTGCCACAAGGTCCTGGCCGCAGCATCCAGTGAATCTGGCATGGACCCAGGCTGCTTCTAAACGGAACGGCTGCACTGTCTGTGATGCACTGCAGACTGCGTTGCAGTGCATGCGGTCCACGTGCATGGCCGCATGGTGGCGTTCGGTTTCCATTTGACGCATGCCTTGCAAGGCCATGCATACGCAGCGAGGCATGACTACACAAACATTTGAGGGATGTCGCAAGCATCAGTTCTTTTGTTGCTTGAACGCAGAGCCAAGTAGCAAGACTTCGTCTTGGCAATGACATCTTCGACGAAGGACTCTGCCTGCTCCTTCTTGGCAGCCAAATCCTTGCTGGTTTGGTCCTGCAACACACTCCAAGTCGCTGGGATGCAGGAGTCGAGTGCCTGCCAGACTCTCATGATGTTGCCTGACGCACTGAACCCAAAACTCGAGCCTCAAACCACCAGATTCACAAAATCTCAAGTCCAGGTAGCGGAAAACCATGTGGTCCTGGAATCTGCTTCGATCGTCCCGGTGTGCAGCCACTGCCGCCTTCGCCGCGGCCTTTGAGGTCTCGACCTCCTTGGGCACCAGCCGTGACTTCTCGCTTCTTTGAAGTTGAAGCTCGTAGGCTACCAGTAGACTGCTACAGCAGAGTCTTCGCAGTTCGTAGCTTAACAAATGTCTTTTTTTCTGATTTCCAGCTGTCTCTCAGTACACGCGCTGCAAACGTGCAAAACTGATTCCGTGGAGAAGCATCGTCTTTGACGATGACAAGTGTCCTAATTTCATGTGGTCGACCTTGGGGCAACGACAACGACGCTCATGTCGAATCCGATGCACTGGCCGTCTGTGTGCGCCGGGAAGTTGTGCAACTGACCCACACGAGCGAAACCGACTCCTCTGTGTCCTCGCTCTCGGGTTCTGTCTCGTCTTCAGTCTCCGATTCCGTCACGGTCACAGAATCCTCGGTGTCGGCATCTGGAACTGGGCGGCGAAGCCCGGGCGTTTGCTCTTGCCGAAGCTTTAGCCAGCCAGCGCCAACTCCAGGCACTGAAGAAAGGAGATGACGAGGCCAGTCGCTCGAACAAGCAGGACAAATCATGTTCATAATTTTATCGTAGGACTCGACTACGAAACCCTTATCTGCCCTGCATAGACTCCCGCACCGGCCACACTCGAGGCTGCGCACCCGTTCGGAGCTCCAGAAAAGTTCCTCCTTGGCCTCCGGGCTCAAGCTCAAGATTTCGGCTTCGGATGGATCAACGACTTTCCGGACGCCTTCGAAGGAGACCTTGAAGAGACTTATGGCAGCTTTAGGGCCTTCGGGGGCTGAGGGCCTTGAGGGCCTGAGAATGGAAGGCCTTGGAGGCTGCAGAGACTGCAGGCGCCTGGCACAGAGCTGCAGCTGCACCTCGACGTCCATTGGGTAGGGAGGCCGCTCCTCACCATCTAATCTCAACCACCCCACACCTCCTCTGCCCGGCTTCAAGGAGACAAGGTGCCCAGGCCGCACCTGGGAACACCGTTGACAAATCAGGTCCCGTTGGCCGTCCGGGCTTTCGGCTACAAACACGAACCTCTCGCGGACGCGACCATCGCAGTAAGCACATGTGACGTCTTGAGAGGCATCTGTTGGCCAGAAGACTTCTGCCTTGGTCGTTTCGTCGAGCGCATGAGTTGTATGCATTCGCAGCTTGTGTGCCCACTGGACCTCCGTCCTTTCGTGAGCAGACCTCTCGCGATCCCCGGGCCGCTTCAAGATTCCTTTCAGTGGTGGTTGTCGGGTGTCTGGCATGAGAGTGGAGCACTGCCGGCTCGAGTGAGCATGCATCATGGCAAAGCAACATCAGGCTCGGAAACTTGCATGCTAGGTGGGCTCTTTAGTACGACAACTGTTGTGCTTACCCTTCTGAAGCTGTTCTGGGATGGCTCTGGGACTCCGAGCAAACCGTTTGAGCCGCTGTGGCTTCTGGTCCGCTTTGTCGAACTTCGCAGCTGAAGGCTCGTTTGCTACAGGTAAACAGCCTTCTCACTGTGCGGGGCAAGCCCATGAGCCTGAAGCCTTGCAACAATCTCCCCACGGCTGCACTTACAAAACCAGCCTGCTCGGCTGCTTGGGCAGCTGCATCAGCCTGCGGAGCATCAGCGATACACTATTGGTTCCTGATCAGCACATCCATCTTGGTGGCTATATGCTGTTCTAGCGGGGGCGGTGATGGTGGCAGTGCGAGCCGCGGCTGTTACTCTTGCTTGCTGTGGTAACTATGCTTGGCAACTTCGCTGTGCCGTGATTACTCTTGCTTTCTTGATCTCTGCCGCTGTTGCTTAGAGTGGCTTACAGTTGCTGGTGCGGCGACGTCTCTGCCGGCTTGCTATGGCGGTTTGGGTTGCACTGGGTCTAGTACTTCCTCTTGTCATTGTTGTTGGTGGTGTTGGTGCCGCTGCTGCTGCTGCTGCTGCTGCTGCTGCTGCTGCTGCTGCTGCTGCTGCTGCTGCTGCTGCTGGCAGATTTGCGCCTCACATGACTCTCGTGTCGCAACTTCGCAAGCTCCCGTCATAGCCAATGAGCAGCAATTGCAGGAAAGTGGCTCAAAGTGGTACCTGTAAATAAGCGTATTGATGGCATCAAGCTGCAGCCTCGGCATCTGCTTGGGCCGCATAGGCATCTACCTGACGGTGGCCAGAGCTAACACGTTGAAGGGTCAGATTCAAGCAGGGTTTGGGGGATCCGAAAAACGAGATATCCGACATCACGTCCACGAATGTGTGAAGCGCTTCAGGTTCCGGAGAGTTAGACTCTATGACCGAGGCAAAGCAGCGCATCTGCTCCCGCTGCACTGGAGCTCTCAAAAATGAACATTCAAGGAGCGTTCTCGCGGGCGGTGTAAACGCGTTGCTGTGCTTTCCTCGGAAATTGAATCGGGACCGGCAGAAAGGCTCCGGCACATGCGAAATGCGAAAAGCTCAAACGGGAGTGTGGAACTGAATGGCCCAATGCGACCGGAGGGCTGACGTGCCACCTTAGAGTCTTTCTCCTCCTCCTGCCATGAAAGCGCCGACAGCTGACTGCTTTGTGCTCTTTCAGAAAACGGACATAATGGGCGAAACTGCTGGTAAACAACTGGGAACTGTCTGGACTGCGCGGGGAAATGCACTGGATAGGCTCGGATAGACTGACTTGAGATTTACAACGCAACTATTTTCAGTGCTTTCGCTGCGCTTGGATGCGCGTTGGGCCCTGAACACTACACCCTAACAACACAACCCCTTGGCCCTTTCCGAGGAGCTTTTACTCCGGCCTGGCTGCGCACCTCCATGCATGCAACAGAGCAGGGAGCTTTGCCGACCAACCCCGAACCGAAGCAACTGCCAGCCTTCAGAGTCTCAATCGCCCCCGGACATCTTAAAGCAGGGTGGCCGGGAACCCTGAATCAAAGAAGTCCTAAGCCTGGCGAGGCCGAGCGTACGGTTTCGAGCTTCGATCGGCCTCCTAGCTGGCCAAGTACAACAGCTGCATATATCAGTACACTCAACTATGTGCAGATGCATACATATGACGTCACATGTCTTGCACAGTCCTTCCTGAAATTTACACAGCGTGCCTACAACCATTACCTACACACATATATATATATATATATACATATATATGTATATACATATACATATCAATATACAATATACAATAATATACATACATACATATACACACGACACACGACATAATGCGAACTCGCCGATCTGGAGAAAGAGGCGATACTTTCGAGGAAGTGGCTCATGCCGAGGTGTTTCGAGATTCGAACGTGTCTGAAACATACAGGTCCGCTGCAGTCTCGAAGGTGAACAGATTCAGGTCCGCTTTCACAGACAAGAAGTACAGGAAACTCATGATGGAGGGTGGCATGACTGCTGTCGCTGATAATTCGCTACTGAATCCAAGGCGCTCGGCAAAAGGGCAGCGGATGCCGGCACATGAGACGAACAGAGATGCGATCGATGTGAGTGAACCACATTCAAGCCGACTCAATAAATCGCACCACCGGGTCTTAAATTATCGGTTCATGTAAGTACCGCAGTATTTATTACATTCACAAATCTGACCTGCCAGTCGCCTCCCAACTCTGGCGCTGTGTCTCCAGGTCTTGCAAAGTCTCTTCGGTGTTCAGCTGTGTTCTCCACAGGTGCTCCTGCCATTTTTTGTCCAACACTTTTCGGAGAATTGAGAGCAAAAGTGGCACAACCAAGGTGGCTTCCTCGTAACCATAGTAAGGACGCAGAATCAAACAAAGCTCGAGATCGCAGCAACTTCGCGCAACACCTCAGCCTTGCACAACATGGCAATACGGAGAAAGCCAGCGTCAGAATAATGGGAGTGGCCATCAGATATCGAGCTATAGCAGACCATAGCACAAGCAACAAGACTGTAGGACGACGGAGGAATAGTGCAGTGGTACCGGCACAAGAGCCCCACGATTGGGTGACATAGTTCCAGAATGAGTGACAACCTTGCAAGCACAAGTTCAATAAACTAAATGAGTGAGGTGGCGGTACGTGGGTGTAAGCATGTGCCATTTACAGTCAAACAACAGGAATGTCATGAAGTGTCGTGGTATCATGTGGAACGATCAGCCTTCACATCGACTACGAATTTGATGGCAGTTCCACCCATCTATTAGTTAGAGTATACCTTGCCCAGTTTGGGTAATAATGCCACCGCCAACCCATTAGATGATTATTCCCATACTCCCCCCTACACTTCACCGATATATCACTACTACTTCCCCCTTGTAGACCTGGGCGCGGGAGATATCGCGGCGCAGCGCTTCAGCCGCAGCCTCTCGCGCCTGCCAATGCATTACATGTGGGAGTTTCCGAAAATAGGGGACCCTAATATAGCACCCTAAATAGTAGGATCCTTATTATAAGGACCCCAAAATAAGGTACCCCTAATTTTCGGAAACTCCCATGTGTGTCCGTGCGTGCCGTGTCGATCCGGCTCTGTGTGCATTTAAACAGTTGACATGTAGGCATGTGGCGGTATGTGGGCAGGCATTCATCTGTGGATGAAGTGTATACGAGGTGTACATATCTCTATGCATAATAATAATAATAACAATAATAATAACAATAATGAATATATATATATATATACATATGTATATATATATACATATGTATATTGGTGTGTGTGTGTGTGTGTGTCTGTGCATGTATGTATGTGTGCATGCATGCATGCATGCATGCATGCATGTATGCATGTATGTGCATAATAAGACATGTACATGTAAATATAAAAAATGTATAGATATACACACAGGTATGTAGCAACATAACATGTTGCATATTCATACTGTTTTGGAACCTGTATGGCTCATGGTTCCGGGCTCGGAACAGTCGCAATTGTCGCAATACCTCCAACTAAAAGCAATGCACTTCACGTGTCTTTCACAGCTATGCGCTGACTTTTCCACACGCTGCATGCCACTCATTGATGTGCTGGTCGAGGGTGCATCCACACCACCGTCCATTTAGTAAAAACTGTTCAATACCAGGCATATTCTGTTTGTGTTGCTCAGGTTACCTGTTTTCCGCCATCATACCTGACCTATGGCTCCTTGTTCTGCACCACTCCTGTGCGTCGCGGTTTATGCGTTGTTGACTGACTTTCGAGTTTCATGCTTTGCAGGCTGCGCAGCCACTCGCAACTACGAACCGGGGAGAAAGATTTGTGGAGAAAAGATACAAAGTGTGAAAAGTGGTGGCTCCTTAAGAAGCAACCAGAATTGGACCCAGATGCCCTACCTGTTCTCGTAGTCTACTTTGCACTCTCAGAAGCCCTCGCCCTTGGGCAGCGTCTTCATGAACTCCCAGCGGTCTGTCGGTCCGATCTCCTCGGGCTTCTGGGGCGTGTCTGAGATGGAGCCATCCTCCAACTCCTGCATGAAGTCCTCACTGATGGTGTCTTCGTTGTCCATGACACCGAGGTTCGGGCCAGCCTTGCCAGCATCACCTCCCTCCAGGGCTACTGCGGCTGCCGTCACCTCACACAACTCCGCGGTGATAGCAGCCTGGCGCTTCTTGTTGTAGATGAGAACGAGCTTCTTCTGCAGATCGTTGGCGTTGTCCGTAGCGACCTTCATGGC